GTGCATCGTAATTCACATTTACGCCAAGAACGGCTGCTGTGCGCACGACGTGTATAGTCGCGAAATGTTCACGAAGTATTCGTGTGTACCAAGAATGGAGAAATTCGCGGTGCGTATAATTTGTGGCGGAAAACTTGAGACAAACGTCTGGATTAACCTCTTGCGTTGGAATTTACTTCTTCCAGGAGTTGTAGCTTGCACGGGCTGAAAGAATGACGCCAGTCTTCCCTCGGTAACAGTTTTTCCAAGTTAATTAGCAAGTGTTTCGTAATTAAAGAATCAGTAGAAAGGGCAAATCTTCCGAGATCATTCGTTGAAATTTCATTATGAATTCATCACAGTACATTACGTTTCGAGATTGAATAGAACAGTTAGACTAAATGAATTAATAGAAGTAGTAGTTTAAATGTTCTCACACAAAAACATTTTTTTTCTAATTTTCCTTTGTAAACTGTGCGACTGGACATTCGGAAAATTTTTATAACATACATGTGGAAATTAATGTAAATTTGATTAGTACTTTCGCCTGTTTATTATCCTAGTTATAATTTCATTCACTAAGTAGGATTATTGAAGTATAGTCTCATAAGAAAAATGAAATTTACTAATTACAATTGTCACATTTGTGTTGATATAAAAAATAATTTTTCATCGAATTATACTTTAGTTAAAAGTAACATTCCATTATAATTTCATTAACCACTTTGTGGCAGGAGATTTTTAGAAACGTTAGAAATTGTTTTCATAGAAAACTAACTTTATATATCAAACTCTTAAATACTGAAAAATAAGAAAATGTACTGATATCTTATTGTTTACATATTTAAAACTATTTATTGTTACTTTCGTTTCTAGATATGTAAACTCGATGTGACCATTTGTACTACATTCCTCATAACAATATCATAACATAATATTATTGAACTATTATATTATAGAATGAACTACACTTACATACAACACAAATTTAGTTTAAAGTATTACCAGAATTTACCTCCACTACCAACGAAAGAATTTAAAAACCTCGAATTTCGTTTAACCGTACCCCTTTGCTTCTGCATTCAATTTCACAATAACCATTTACATTTTTACTTCTACAAGATTCAATGCATCTGCAAATCTCAAAGATAATATTCTGCAGAAGAAAATATTAGCCTTATCATCAATTAATTACAAAGACGTTCACAATATCAGCCCAAATAAGAATTATAATTATAATCGTAAGTATTTTAAATGGAAGGATTGTTAAATAATTTTAATGAATATATGTAGATGCAGGTCAATTACAATTTAATTATTATGCTGCACGAGCTGGAATAATAATTAATAACTAGAGACTTGTGTGTTCCTAATATACAAAGTGTTCTATTCCAACAAAGTTTAGATTCTTTGAAATAAATGTTTATATCTAATTACTTTGAGATTGAGAAATCTTTGTACCATGATGGTTTGAAAGAATCGATCTTCAAGATTAATATTTTAAATACAATAGTAACATGAATTCGAATAATTGAAAAAGTATATTTTATTGATAATGCTATATAATTCGTCCAATGTAAATTCCATAGTCCAGAACAAATACTCCAGTTTTATGCATTATGCTTGCACTATGTTATTATTACCGATTTATGTAATTACTTATGAGTACTCAATGACAATGAAAATATAATTCACATAGCTAAAAGCCTATTCTTAACATTACATAACACATGCTACATAGCCTTACGAACAAAAAATTCCAATAAATACAATATTACAAAACATGAAAATTCTTTCTTCACTATGTAACAGTATAAACTGTAACATTATATTTAAAAAATTCCAAAAGCTATCAAACTGCTTACAAAAAAGCAATAGAACATTTTTCTCATTCATTCCACTATTTACAAAAGAAACGCTTCAGTTTCCACGCGAACACCCAGTACATTTAATATCCATTATAAACGTGCACACGTATAAATCTATTACGAAAGCATAGGAATGGTTACAAATACTGATAAAACATCCACCTTTTTCATTCGATCCACATGCTCACCGTTTAGAAGAGAAACATTGCCCAATATTCACGCGGACACCCGGTATAGTTCATATTCATTATAACACATGCACATGTGTAAATCCATAGATACATTACAGAAGCAAAGGGATTTCACTTAGTCCGGCAATCGACGCGTTTCACTGACCGAATACGTGATTAAACGTGTATCGAAATTTCCCCGCAACAAATTACACGCTCTCGTTACCCGCTTGCACTCGGCGAACCTTTGTTACCCGCGAACCGGGATACACCTATCGCCGTTTAGCTTCTCCGCAGCTGGCCGTTCTATCGTCCATTAGCTCTCCTATCCTATCGAATTACACTTGACCCCCGATTTACGCGGACTTTTTTCCGCGGTAAGCTAGAACACTATTTAGGCGATAGTTTTCATGCGATCTAAATTTGGTAACATCGAATAAAATATACTTTTGTTTCCTGAAATGTCATTATTATTTCTTCTGTTTAGCTATGTGAAATAAATATGTATTTCTAAAAGTTATACCAGCTTTCCTTTCCGATATTTTGTTTTCTCCCTTACCGACAGGCTCTATTTACGCGATTTTCATTCGCGTAAAACGAATATGTTCCTGCAACTAACCCCTTGTTCTATGTTTTTTTCATAACCGCGCTCGTTAGGAGAATTTCGTCAATAATATTTACCAAACAACAAAGACAAATTTTCGGACACAACGATTGATAATAGAAAAATAGTACTTATTTTGAATACATAATTAAGTGATATTTTATTTTTATAACTTCCGTTTGAGAACTTCCTCGCGATCCTGACTCCGATATTGTACGGTAAGGAGTTAACGTATTGCATGCGGGCCATTTTGCTCATTTCAAATTGAAGGCGTGAATTCCAAAACAGAAGTCCACGTTTTAACATGATCTATATGAGTTCCTGGTGTAAGTGTTTGCAGCTTATTCGGAACAATTTAACACTTGAACTACCAACTATTTAAGACATGTTTAAGATATGTAATTGTTATAAAAATTATAACAATATATGTTTTACATTCTTGCTTACATTCGTTATAGTATGCGAGTGAAATTGTTGACTTATAAAATGATTTCGGATATTTAACATTTTTAACATATCAGTAATTGCAAAATAAAAAAACTGAAATCAGTCATACTCACTGATACGGTAGCTCTAGAGTTAATGCTTTTAACATTATAACTACTGAACATTCGAGTGACGTCTTTCAAATTTTTGATAAAAATTAGAACTTACTATTAGAATATTACTTGAGACTTGAAGAGTCTCTTATTCTTGTATCTCTACGAATGTACAAATTTATTTTATGATTCCAAGCAGAAGCAACTTCACAATTTAAATACTTGTAAAAAAAAATTCTGAAGTAGGCCGATTTGATCCATCCTGTAGTTTTAGTGTTAATAGTGTTTTAGTGTTAACAAAAATACGCATAAGTAGTGTAGCAAAGTTTGCAGCAAGATTCAATAAAATGAATAATGTTTTTGAATTCATGGCTTCACTTGTATCGATTACATTTGAATATTTTATTTATGATTCAATACGTTTTTCAATATATATACTTTCAATCATACGTAAAATGAATCGAACTATATTTATTTTTAACGTAACGTATCAACGAAATAAATACGAACCTTTATTACTACTTGACGGAACACGGAAAACGTATTTTTACGTTAACTGCATATAATGTGTTAATCAATCTGTGAAACATAGGTGCACTTGAAACTGCTCGTTCTTATTCTAGTTTCAATTTTCCCATTTTAATATAATTTCAGTAGTACCTCGGTAATAGGCACATTTTTGTCTCGAAAACAGATGCAGATTCCATAAATAATGCGGTTTCTAAAATTAAATGCACTGCATCTTTCGCCACGAACGAGAATATCTTTGAAATTAGGAATAGGTTTGTTTATCTTTATTTTTAAAAGTAAAAGAAATATTGAAAAATCGTATTTAAAGGATGACACGATATTTCGTCTTCAGCGATTATACGATACGTGACACCGCGACGATCATGTCGAATGGCAATTCCTTTTCCTTTCACTCCAGCTTATAATTTCGGTATAAGAAACAGCATACTGCCAGCAATTTCCGGTACACATCTAAGTAAATACCTCGCTAGTAGACGCGTTGTTGACTCGTCATGCGTCTACTATCGAGACATTGCTGCAGGGTAAGTTCGGGGTAGTTCAACAACATATTCATAGTTTTAAAAGTATTGACATTAAACTAATAATTTAATTATGTAATAATTATAGTTGCGAGATGTAGGTATGTATAATACATTGATTCATTTGTTTCTCTAAGCAACGGAACTACCCAGTAATCAAATTGTTTTGTAAAGATTTTTATATAGAAAGTTAAGAGTGCATTTATTGAGATTTTCGTTGCTTTATAATTCATTCTAAAATATTCAAAAATGAGTTGTTTTAGCCCATCTGGTAATAGTTTTAGTGTTAAATTGTGTGATTTTGAGGAATAGTGGTCTAGCTCCTATTTCTGAGCTCTTGGGAAAGAAATTATTTTTGGATTAATTAAATTCTAATATCACAATATTATTAGTAATATTAATTTTTACTAATCATTAATATTAATAATTATAATGTCAGTATTTAATTAGTCCAAGAACGTTTCTCAAAAGCATTTTTCCCAAAAACTCGAAAACAATAATTAAACCACTATCATGTTAAGCCACTCAAATGAGACAGCGAGTCCTTTCACCCTTTAACATTCCCCAATTTCTCACTATAGACGAACTATCCCGAACTTAGAATATTCATATTAATTACAAATAATAAATTTATACTTTGATATTAATATATTCGTTATTTCGTCTTAACTTACTTATAAGTCCGTTTAGTTATCAATTAGAAGAAAAAACGATAAAGTAGAATTGTCTTTAATGTCAGATCTCGATCCTGGAATTGTGAAAGATAACACCTGGCTGTGTTCTCGTTGCAGGCATGCCCGGGAAAAAGAACACGATAATGTACCAGTGTTGTCCGGAGCCGTACGTCGACGTCACCTTCACCATCCAAATCCGAAGGAGGACGCTGTATTATTTTTTCAACCTGATCGTGCCGTGCGTCCTGATATCAAGTATGGCACTCCTGGGCTTCACGCTGCCGCCGGATTCCGGAGAGAAGCTCACCTTAGGTAACGTAACTCGTGGCATGCCTTGCCTGCATATTACACCAGCCAGACACGTCTATTCTCTTTTTTATTTTATATCTCTCTGTCCTTCAACTATCTCTTCTGTGTTTCACTATCTCGTTTCTGTTGGTTCTTCCGGGTTGTGTGCGTACGGTGATCGATGAAAATGTTCGAACAGCGAGATCCTCGAATTTTCAGATTCTTCGCGGAGGAATTGTAGGTTTCAGAGTATATTGATAATGTTTTAATAGTAATTATATTAGTATGAATTTTTCATTGTGAAATTGGAAATTTAATATGTTGCATATTGTATGTTATAAGGCTATTAAATTTTACATTGAATTTTGTATTAAATTTTTTATTTACATTTTATATTAAATTTTACATTAAACGTTTTATTTAAATTCGACATTAAATTTTTTAATTGAATTTCTTATTTAAATTTTACATGAAATTTTTTTATTTACATTTCATTTACAATATTAAAGAAACATTAAATTATTCTTACTTTTGTAACATCATTATCAATAAGTGTACATGTATGATGGAATATGCGAGAGATATGCGATGGAATTATTAGAGCGTACTTGCGCAGATATGTTTGCAGTGCAGTTCCGTAAAATCCGAATATTTCATTTATGTGTTTCAAATATTAAATCCTCTTATTTTTTAATAAAATTGTATCAGTATTCAGTAAAACAGTTATATACCAGGGACAATCTTTTAGAGACGATTATTAATTACAAATATAAAAGTCTTTCTATTTCTCGTAATATTCCCTATGAAGATTCCAATAAATGAATTAACAAACTTTTCTCTTGACGAAAACGAGTTCAAACACAATATTCGTGTCAAATATGTTTATTCATTGCGATCAACAAATATAATACGCATTAATAAACATATAACTGACACTTATCTTGTTCAAATCTTAGTTTGTTTCGTCGAAGTCGAAAATACTGATTCATTAGTGAATGTTTCGTACAAATATAATGAGAATCAAAGAAATGTTTACTCTTCTAACTACATTTCAATTCGGTCACTAATTCTCTCTCCGTTTAATCTCCACATATTTCATTTCTCGTTCCTATCAAGTTAAACAACTAATTAAAAACTAATTTCACAACTAATTGAGAAAACATACTATTTCAAATCGAACATCCAAAAGTTGTAGTTTTAACTGCACGAACAGTTACGCACGAAACACGTTCGAATTCAAGAGAAGGAGAAATAAAACTCTCCGCGCGTAAACAATAACGTTAGAAGGATGCAAAAGTGGAAATGAATTTATTCAAATGAGTTGAAATATTTTCGTCGGTCCCGAAACGCGCGCCGATCCGCCTATATCTATCTTTCTTTCCCTCTGTCTCTCCACATATATCTGTTTTGTACCTGTATATTGTATGTACGTACTCGTACAAGTTGGAGTCTTGCGACTGGTTTGACTTTTAACCGGATTATGTTGATATTTTGAACCTATCGGCAACTACAACGCTGACTGTCCTGCGTTTCTTTTGTTTGGACGATGAAAGGGAGTAACGAGATCGAAACTACTCCACTCTCGATCACGGACGGCCGGACGACATTGCGAACACACTCAAGTCGGACGACGTTTTCGATTGATTTCTCGAACCGAATCGGATCGCGCGCGGATCGCAATGAACTCGAGACGTGTTGCGATAGACCGACTGGTTAAAACCGGTGATCGCATCAAGCACGGAATCGATTTACGAGGCTAGGGATTGATCGTTCCGATTTATTTCACGGGACTCGGTCCAGGCGTTGATCAACTGTCGGGGCTTTACTTCTTCGGTCGGCGTTAATGAGAGTGGATTCTGACGTTGCAGGTTTATTCCCGCGGCATCTGAATTGTTTCATCAATCTTCGTTCGAGGGTAATTAACATGGTATCGAGTTTCTTCGGTCTTCTGAGCTCGTTCGTTGTCTGATCAACGTTCCGTGACCATCATTTTTATTTCTACGATGAATCCGGACTGAGCATTGTTGCGTTTGTTGTTGGAACGATAATATACGTTTCGAGCATTTATTACTTAAGCTCCTGTTACACGATAATTCAATGAAGACGCAATTCGTGTAATTTATGTTTGATACTGTTGTAAATTATGTCTGAGCACAATCAGTTTGTGTTGCATTTCGATTAATTTTGTGCTCCAGAATTATCAAGATTGGAATTCATTAATTCTGAATAATATCTCAGAACATATCGTTCGTATTTCAATGGACAATGTGTGTTGTATGTATTTGAATTTTGGTATTTTGTATTAATAATAAGAATGTACAAATGCATAGTCCGCTGATAAACTTTTTTAAAAATATTATCTATAAATATTACACATGAGCTACAAATTGTTGTGTATTTATACTTAAAAACATGGGTAATATTATAAAACACACGTTTTCCATTAAAATGCATTTGCAGTTACCTAAATATTCTCTTTTTATCAGAGAGCGTATATTATTTAACAGACTAATCAACACTAGATATTTAATACCAATTCCATTAGTCATTGCAATAATGCTCAATCACGATTCATCAAGATCATCATCAAAAAGTCATAGAAACATTAACAATGGAACGATAAATAATAATTCTTCTACATATACTCCTATTTCGACGCCAGCATTACAATTTAATATAAAACGATCATCACTTTCATTCATACCATAATTATGTAAGGTTCTATATCATCAATCATCCTGAAAGATGAAAATATTACTCCGTATATGACATTTAAATGACAACTTACTTCATCAGTGTATTTTAAGGAACAAGATCAATATTGTTGAAATTTCATGCCACTGGTTGAAGATCGAATGATCGTCGTACGAAATCTTCGTCAATGTGTCTCTATAGATGAATCGAAGAACTTTATCATGTATTCTTTCTGTGATGCAACGCTATCTTGGGAACGTAGAAATTCGGTGATTGTCCTACTATCTCTGATGCATCCAGTCGACATGTCTTACGAATATGAGATGCACGTAAACAGGATAACCCGGCGAGTTGCATTCGTATTCCGAGCACAACGTGCATCGATATCATCGCACATCCGGCGTCAGGGATTCCTTCTAGTAAGGAGAATATGCCAGCTCCTCTTCCTTCTTCCGGAAAAGATTTCGTTACTTCAGTGCAATAGAAGTAATTCGACAGTAAAAAGCAACGTACAGAATAAGATGTACCTTACAATATAATTGAGAAAAGGAGAGTGGTACCTTTTATGAAAATAAATAGAGGTATATAACAAATGTGACAGTATAAAGTGACAAGCCTGCATTCTCAAGAAAATATAGTTAGATTATTTATTAACATTAGAACTACTGTTAGTTTTCTTATTTTGCAATTATCGATATTTTTAAATTATTCAGTATCCGGAATGATCTTGAAAGTAAATAATTTCGCTTAAATACTGTAACAAATATCTGAAAAAATTGTCTTGGCATAGAGGTTTTGAAGGTTACATATTTTGAAAATTATTGACTAGAGTCTAAGTTTTTACTCAAGTTATTTCCAAATTCTTTCAACTGTTTCACTAAGAAGACAAACAATTTTCAGTTCCGTAAATATCAAGTATAGTTGCTACATATCTTGAAAAACTTGCAAAGAAAAATACATTACAGGATAGAAGACATGCAAGAAGAGGAAATGGTACTATTCTCCACATACCCGATATAAGCCGTTGCTCATAACGTACATCACTGTTTATAAGCATTAGGGCGCTTGAGAGGGATGAAACAAATTTATAAAACATTCAAAAAGTAATTACGTCTTTACCACTTAACTAGCAAACAATTAGACAACGAACTAACAACCGAAAGCAGATTATGTCTAGTATAATATAAATTATCTACTTATAAAGTACAAATGTAATATGTTCTAGTTCTTAGAGAAACAAAATTTACTACTACATCACAGACTTTCGTATAATTTCAACGTCTTAACTATGTACATCATTTACCTTGTCTTATAATTAATGTCACCTAATTGCTGATTAAAAATACAAGATAACAGTGAAAGAAAGTATCAATTACATTTGATAAACTTAAGTAATGAATAAAGAATAATTGATAATTAATATATAATGTAATTAATAAAAATCATCGAACAGAATATTCATTTATATTCGTTTTCGTTAGTACAATATCAAAACACTTGAATCAGACTTGTATAATATCGATTAAAAATCTCTTTTCTTTGTAGAACTAACTAGTATCCTAATATTTATACACGGTGGTGTCCATTATTTCCTAAAATAGTATCTACAGAAAGAGGTTCGTTCGATAGCTGCGTTCTGTCGTGTAACATTCGATCAGGAAATATAGTCAGCTTCCATCGAGAGCGTCACACGGTTTCAATTTTAGATGAGGCCTGTTCCACAGATTACAACCTTCGAAAATCTCTCTTCCACACGCCATATTGTGCATTATAAATATCGGGTTCACGAAGTTTGACGTGTCTGATATATCCTTCACGAGGTTGGATCAATTTGCTCGAATGTGTCTTCTGGGATGCGAGTCTGGATTTGTTGTTGTCAACCTGTCGACGACCAGTTAATTATTCACAATGATGTTACATCGCTGTAAATCCTTGTTAGGATCATGTTGGAAGAAATACTCCTCATACTCTGATGCATTGGCCCCTTGTGATCCGACATATACTCGATTCTTCACTCTATAATTTGCATTAATGTTACTTAATGCAATTGCAGTTTAATATTTATTGTTTAACTTTATTTATTGATTTGACAATTTTGAATGAAAATTTAATTTAAGAAGTTTTATCACTATAATCGTATCAAATGTGATTATAACACTACAAATAATTGCAGTATAAATTGGCAAAATTAAATATCAAATTTATTTCGATGTAGGATCGCAAAGGGTAAACATTGTTTCATACAAAGCAATGTCCAAAGAAAGATACATACGCTTTACAATTTTGGATGAGAATAAGGTTCATCAGATTGCGTATGATTCTATTGGTAA